GGGGGGGGGGGTCCTCTAAAAGTCTCTAAGACCTGAATGACTGTATGAGAGAGAGAGACACAGTGCATGTGTGTTTATCAACATCACTAATTAGCTTAATCAGAAACACCTGAGTCCTTGCAGCCTTTTCATGGAGATAAAACAGGGAAACACCTCTCAAACAAATTCTCAAAACTTCCATAACCGTAGCTCCTATTGCTCCGATATTCATAAATGAGAGGAAGGATGAGTTGAAGAACAGATCCTGTAAAAATTGTGTCTGTAGTGTAAAAAATGTGGCTGAACTGGTGATCTAGAAATGGGGTACCGTGTTCTGTGGAAGATGTTTTTGAAGCAAAATTTAACATTGGTCTCTATGGAGCAGAAAGTTGGTTTTCCTCTCAATAACAGGCTTCTGTGCCAAATGTGTAAATCTGTGGGATTCCACAGTCATTTGTCTACAACAAGGACAAGATTAGCTACTTCTACATCCAGAAATTATGCATGAAGAGTGAAGATTGTGGACACAGTGGCAAAAGACAAATCTTTTTTTCACAAGAATCTCAAGCTGCTCTTCACTCTAGCGGTGACATCACGCACTCTAAGCTGCACAATACACACCCATTATAAAGTCAGAAAAGGGCTGAAAAATCATAAAAGTTAAATTGCTGCAGTTTAAAATGTATCAAAAAGCTGAATAATGTGGCAATAGATCAGGGTTTCCTCAACATTTGAAAGTTGAAATGGTGTCTGTAGCTGGAAATATGAGGAAGTTGAAGGATTTGAAAGTTGAAGAAGTTTAAGAGGATTTGAACATTTTCTCCATTGAAATCCCATTCAAAATTAAAATTGCAAAAAGTTTAATAATTCATAAAGCATAAGAGATAGAAATATGAAAAGTCATAGCAGAAATGTCATTATAGAGCTGAACATTTTGATAGTTGAATGGTTTCTGTAGCTTAAAAAATGAAGAAGAAGAAGAGGTGGGACGGAAGAAATATAAGAAGAAGAATAAAGAGAAACAGGATAACAATAACTGCACATAATATAATAGCCTTTCATCAAACATGTTATTACATTTAATGTAGGTTGCGAGAGTTTGGTGGCAACTTTTTGATAACAAATGTGTAATTTTGACATGTTGTAATAAACAATTTATATATCGTGCTTTTAGGTCCAGTCTGTATTTGATATATTGCACGATTTCATGCCAACATCAGGAACATTTGATACAAATTCTGTTGTGCCCCATGTATTTACACAGGTACGCTTTCCATTCAAATACAGTACAACGATTGCAGATTGTTCCTTAATCTGCATTCTAAGGGATCATACCAAACCGCTTGGAAACCAGTGGTTTAATATATAACAATACATTGTATTTTTATAATACTAATTAGTTAGATTACATAAATGTAATGGAGTAAAATATATAACAATGGAAATACTCAGATAAAGTATAACTACCTCAAATTTGAACTGGAGTACTTGAGTGACCGATGAAGGGTTACTTGAGTTTATCTGACAGGGTGGTGGGGGAACATCAGACAAAGGGTTGGGAAGCACTGCTTATTATATGTTGTCGGCAGATTGTGTCTTCTTTTCTTTGTTGACATGAATGAACAACATTTGAAGTCTCTCTCTCTCACAATGTTGCCAAAGCATCAAAATACAAAAGTACATGATTGATAGATGGATCAGCGACTGGAGAAACCAGCAAGAGGCTAGAAAAAACAAAAAATACTCAGCCCAGTGATGCAGACTGTTTTTCAGTGAAAGTATCTAGCAGCACTAATGGGAAAGTCACCAAGTCGACAACTGAGAGCCCTTCCCTTCAGGCCTCCCTAATATCCTTCACTGTTTCACTGTCTCTCAGGTTGAGGCATGTTGATACATATTGGTCAGCAATATAGTGTTGAACTTGTAGAACTTGTCATATAAAATGTTCCTTAATTCATTGAATGTTTCAAATTTTCTCTCTTTCTCTCTCTCTGAGTTCAGGATGTGGTTCCAGTCCTGGTGGATTATTGCCTGCTGCTAAAGAGGGCGTAAGTATATATGCATTCATAGGCACATAAATGCAAATATTCACAACTAGTGAAGACAGACCATAAGGGTAAGAGTCATGGACTGGCATGAAGAAGCTGATTGTAGCTGATAGCCGATATAATATAAACAAGAATACTGCTGATTTGCTATATGTGTGGAAGCCTAGTATGAATAGTTTATGGTTAATATATTAACCTCAAGTCTTTATTTTTTTATTTTTCTATTAAATATTCCCCTGGACTATTAAAACTATTCCACAATGGCTGGCAATATCATATATACATTCTTCTATACATTAAATCCTAGATGTTCAGCCTGAAACTTTGGAAAGGATCTTGCTCAAATTTCAAACAATTACTGGGTTTGACAAAGGTTGGTGGAAACATGAATTTGGATGGATGCAAAATTGTTACAACAACTTTACACTCTCTTTGAAGCTGTAGTTTGGTTTATTTGTTTTAAATTTTAAGTACTAGTTAATTACATGTACGAACTTATTACAAACAAACCAGGAGGGGTAAACAGGGCTGTAGGGTAACTCCTTCATTGGACAGGTGTGATGTTATTCTGCATTGTCAGCACTAAATGGACCCACAGAGTTCCATCAAATAATGTTTCCTGACATCAAGTCATGCAGCACTTGAATACTGAACCTGATGTGTTCAAGTATCGTTCTTGGTGTCACAGAGCGCTCACCAAAAAGCAACTGATTATAAGCATTAAAGACTTCCACTCCACCTCATTTTATGAATGACAGACGGTGTGGCTCAACCACAAATGAACCACACCAGATTTTGCTGTGACCGTTTCACATCAACCGAAACAAGTCTTGGTCCACTTCCAAGTGGGCTTTGATACTGTTCAATTGTTGTGTGAATAAGAACACTAAAGTAGTAGTTATGTGATTTTAACATCAAACAAAAAAATAAACTACTGGTGTGTGAGTGTGAGTGCAGGGTTTCCCCTTATTTAGCTGCGTACTCATTTAAGCAGTTCCTCAAGGAAATCTGAGTGAAACTAGATTATTAATTATCCTAATCAATTCCTTTTGAATGGTCAGTGTGAAGAAAATAACAGACCAGAAGTAAAAGGCTTTTTTGTGTGTGTGTGTGTGTGCGTGTGTGTGTGCGTGTGTGTGTGTGTGTGTGTGTGTGTGTGTGTGTGTGTGTGTGTGTG